CAAAAGGACCACCAATCCAAAAAAACCGTGGTTTGGACTAAAACCCAAAAAAAATGCAGGACAATTTTTGCAATTTTAGAAATGTTTGAATTTGAAAAATTAGGTCGACTTTACCCTTACTAACGTACCTTTTGTAGATCCGATCAAATAGACACACTGCATTACCCCGCTCAGAATTCCTCTTCCGCTTCAAAACCCTTACGAGAAAGGGGAACCCTCCGGAAGATCAAAGAGGGGCGAATGGAATTACAGACTCTTGCCGTTGAAGCAAAGCGCAAGGCACCATGCGTCGACGTCGAGGATGCATCCTGGAAGGTAGCCAAGTGTCAAAAGCTCTCTTCAGAAAAATTCATGGTCCGACTCGAGATTTCTTCCCCGGATTCGTTCTCAGTAAAGCCGTTGAGCGTTGATGGTTACAGGTTCCCTGGTGGTGCCGCTTGCTTTGAAAAAATTAAGCGAATGCCTATCTGATGTATGTTATCTCATCTGTGTTCTTCATTGGGTACATTCAAATGATAGTTATTATTAAAATTGCTACTAGTAAAATCTCAACTGTGGTATGATATTGTATCCACAGTAAGTTTGTAAGTCGATTAGTTGCGCATATCCATTTCACCAATTGCTTAATGTTATTAGGTGGTGCCATCACATTACACACAGAACCATGGTAGTGGAGAGGCCTGTGTGTTCAAACTCACAGATTATGATGCAGTTCTTAAGTCATTAAAGAACGAGCGCATTGATTACCAAGACATCCCTTACATAACTCGTAGAGCTGTAAGCATACTATCACGTCCTTATGTTGAGGGGCGTTGGGAACCCTGTAGGCCAGAACATCTATCTGATGAAAAAGTAGATGAGTTAATGGGGAAACTTCCAAAGTCCCTGTTAGAGGTACTTCTCCCTTTCCAATTTGAAGGTGTGAAGTTCGGATTGCGTAGGGGTGGCAGGTGTCTCATTGCTGATGAAATGGGCCTTGGGAAAACACTTCAGGCCATTGCAATTGCAAGCTGTTTCATGAATGAAGGCCCTGTACTAATTGTTTGTCCTGCTATTTTGCGATATACATGGGCAGAAGAATTGGAGCATTGGCTTCCATCTTGTTTGCCCTCTGATATTCATCTAGGTATCTTTCTCAACTATGTCTTATCTTGTTGTTCAATAATTAGTAATGATACAACCATACTTCTTGAGAAACTTTTGTTAGCTGATGATTCTTCAATTACTTCATCTTCTCCAGTTTTTGGTCATGAAAACAATCCTATAAACCTAGCAAGGACTCCAAAAGTTGTGGTTATTTCTTACAAAATGCTGTCCAATTTGAAGAAGAGCATATTACAACAAAAATGGGCTGTCTTGATTGTTGATGAATCACATAACGTACGCTGTACAAGACGCGTATCATCAGAAGCAGGAGAGGTATAGTTTATATTATATTGGCATTCGGTTGACCTAGATTTCTAATATATTGCATACAAATAAACCTGTTGAATCCTTATTCCCTTCCATATTGTTCACAGACACAGGCCTTACTTGATATTTCAACAAAGATCAATCGTATAGTTCTACTCTCAGGGACTCCTTCTTTGTCAAGGTTGTGGCAAAACAGATGTTACTTTTACAGTCTTTTAGTGTTCCATTCTATGTATCCTAATTTCTTTGGTCGCATATTTCTCCTAGGTGCTAATAGGCCATATGACATTTTTCATCAAATAAACATGTTATGGTTAGTTTTCTTTTTCTCATAGTAGTTTGTTTAAATTCATGGATAATTGTTGACAAATCCTGCCTTTGGCTAGGCCTGGACTGCTTGGGAAAGACAAACTTGCATTTGCAAAAACCTATTGCTCCATGAGTACTGCCCGAACTTATCAAGGGATTGTCTATCAGGTAGCATTTGTTTGGGTGTTATCCACATTCCACACATATCTTTCAGAATTCTGCATATCTTTTACATTCTTTTTTATCTTTTTAGGATTTCTCAAAGGGTATTCGCTTGGACGAGCTAAATGTGCTACTGAAGCAGACTGTTATGGTCAATCACAAGCTCTTTCATTGTTTGCTTTATCTTCCTTTTCATTAAGATCTTGAAGCTTAGCTTCAGTATTCATATTTTTCTTATATGTGATGTAGATAAGACGATTGAAGGAACATGTGTTGATGCAATTACCACCAATACGAAGACAAATCATAAACTTGGTTTTGAAGCAATCAGATATCGATTCTGCAATAGAAATCTGTGGTATGCCAAATGATAATGCTTTTACAGTAAATATTGCCGAAGATGATGAAAGTAAGATTTCATAACTCCATTTGTTTGACGCAAATTGCAATTTCTAAATTCTACTCATTCACCCGTAAAAGAATTATTGTTAATTATTTTGCTTTCAGTGGATGATGTTGATGGCAACCCTTCAAAACCATCCAATCAAGCTATAGGTATCGCAAAACTATCAGGATTCAAAGAGTGGCTACTTATGCATCCAATCATGGCTGAATCTGATGATGATGAAAGTATTGGATTAAGTCAAAGCTCTCATAAAATGATAATTTTCGTTCATTATCATAAGGTTACAGATAGATTAGAGGAATTTCTGTGTGAGAAAGGGATTCAGTTTGTACGTATTGATGCACGCGATGCATCTGCCAGAGATAGACAACAAGCTATCCATTCTTTCCAACATTCAAAAGAGGCAAGCAAAGTGTCTTCTTACATAAAGAATTACATTACAATGTTCATGAAATTATAATATACTTGCATGAAGTTTATTATATTACTGTATAGTAACAGTTCAGTGTAACTTGAGAGTTCTCAGGTTAAAATTGCATTGGTTGGGATACTTGCTGGGAGTAGTGGACTTAACCTGTCAGCTGCACAAAATGTGGTGTTTCTAGAATTACCTGAGAGAATATCCGACTTTCAACAGGTGAGTCAAAAACTCAAAATGTGGAGTTTCTAGGTGTTGTGATTGGTTGATGGAGTTATGGACCTTTGTAGGCTGAAAGTCGAGCACATAGGCGTGGTCAAACTAAAGCAGTCAACGTTTATATATTTTGTGCCAAGGTGAGACATTACATATGATTAAGTGTTTTGAACTATCAATGACTGTTTTTTATTTTTATTTCAGAACACTCCGGATGAGTCTCACTGGAGAAAACTGAATAGAGTTTCATCGACATAGAAGTCATCGTACTTCATCTACTATAGATGGGAAGTATGATTCATTGAAGGAGATCATGGTATCTTTTCTTTATTAATTTTTGGAATTTACTTTTAGTCCGTGGGTATAGCATGCAACTTATCTTTAGATCATTGTTCTTATGTTTTGCATGCTTTGTGGGACATATGTGCATTTGAGACTTGATATTCACTCAGTTACTAAGTTTATCATATGTTTTCTTGTGTTTCTGCAGGTCGATGATGTTGCTTTACTTGAAACTGTTGAAGAAAGAGAGATGGATAAAAATTTGTTCTTTTCAGGGGAATGTAATGATGAATCTTCTGGCAATGAGCTAGTGAGATGCTCTCAGTATTCATATAGTGGACAGATTCAGCCTGATGAAGTTTTCAATGTAGCCACAACTTCAAGAAGTAAAGATGCCAATGAAGAGATTATGGAAAAACCAGATTCTTCACACACTTCACGAGAAGCTGACACGTGTAATCTGATAGAAAAACCAAGTGAAGAGGACCCTGTTGACCAGGATGAAGATGAAACAGGTTGCATCTCATCGCATTCACTTCGCTTTGAGGTAAAGAACTAAATCAATTTGATATCAAGTTCAAATCCCAATTTTGAAAAAAAAAAGTAATTGTTTATAGTTGATTTGATTTTTTCCAGGTCAGCAAATACACAGGAAGAATCCACTTGTATTCATGTATCCAAGGAATAGAAACACGGCCTACCCCATTGTTTAAAAATTTCAAACCAGAGGAACTTGAGACAAAAGATCCAGACAACTTGGCTGATTCAATTTACAAACCTGCCCTTGTAAAATTTGTCAAAGAATGGAACAGTCTCAGACCTATTGAACAAAGAAAACTTTACAGCAAGCCTCTACAACTTCCTTTGTCTGTTGAGTTGTGTTTAATGGAAAGCCCAAAACCATGATAAAGATGTATATCTCAAAATTCTTCTTCCTTTTCTCGATATGATTATGAGGGCGTTTACGTCTTTTGCCCAAATGATAGATAAAGATCTTTTTGGGTGGGACAAAAAGTTGCAACTTTTGTCCCTTTGATATCAGTCTTAATGCAGTACAAACTGTAACTAGAGGGGCCTAAATGTATGCATGTACATAGTTGAGGGTGGTATTTAAAATTATTATTATCCAACAGGGTTTGCTAAAAGGAGGAAGTAAGAAGCGTGGTACATCAATTGATGATATAAGCCACCCCCTTCCTGCAAATGCTGAATGGAGAAAGGTTTCAATCTTTCATGGCAAAAAAGAGAGACGATATATGCAGGGTTATACACTCATTAACGAACCACTCTGTAAACTGTGTCAAAAAATTTGCACGTAAGTGTCAGTGGCAAACTTGTAATTAACACAAAGATTTTGACCATAAAATGCAACTACTAAGATAACATATTACCAGGAAGAAGAGTGCAATGGAGCCTGAATTCTTTGAGGATTTGTTTTGTGATTTGGAGTGTCATGAAGAATATCGGTTAAGAACTAGTAATAGACTACTACGAAAGGTCGGTAATTTGATTCCAAATAAATATCACCATGAAATATTATATTTTATTTAAAAAATGAAATTTTTAATTTACAGATGCTTGCCCAAATTGAACATAGCGTATGTACAAATTGTCATCTTGATTGTCGTAAGCTTGTGAAGAACATCAAACCTTTGTCTCTTGAGAAGCGTAGAGAGTTTATTATGAGGGAAGCACCGAAGCTGGCTGCACGTAAAAATGCGTGAGTGTAAAATCTTGAAAACATTTAAATTATGTTTTTTTTTTTTTTTTTTTTTTTTTCGTTTTCAGTTTTTAATATGATAATTCCATTTTGTGATTTTGCGTAGACTTGAAAAGCTCATCAGTGATCCTACAGAGGGGAATGCATGGCATGCGGACCATATTGTGCCTGTATATCGAGGGGGAGGTAAATAAATGCAAGAAAAAGAATTCCTATATATAGCAATGTTATAGTTGGGTAGATTTATAATAAGAAAAAGAATAATTAAATATGTTATGCGAATGCGTATGCGTGCAGGGGAATGTAGACTAGAGAACATGAGGACCCTTTGTATTGCGTGTCATGCTGATGTCACGTTAGCTCAATGTCGTGAAAGACGCTCAGAACGAGCAAAGGCCAAGAAACAACTCAAGCGCTTGTTGGCCAACATCACTTTAGTAAACAACTGCAAGGATAAGGTAAAACAAAAAAATTATTCAAATATTTTTTCAACATCGTTTATCTAGTTGGAAAAAAGTAGGGACCAAGTGTTAACCTTTGTTTTATAAGAATGTATATATTGTGTGTATATAACCTTTTTTATGTGTAGATGTGTAAGTAACTATATAAAAATATTTCAGGAAACAGATGACGATGACCTACTAGTTGTGAATGTCCCGGGAAGTGCCTACCATACCATACAGCAAACATAAATAGGTGTACAAGTGAATTTTTCCTTGAGATTTTTTTTTTTTTTTTTTTTTTTTTTTTTTTGTTATAATGTAATTTTTGTATGTAACTTGTGCGTTGAAACTACAAACAACGGTTACTAATGATATATATGTTGATTATAAGCAATATTTAGGGGCTGTTTCTTTTTGACTTAGTGGACTTAATGTTTAGAAAACAAGACTGTTTCTTTTTTACTTGGTGCTAACAAATTATCTTAGTGGATTAAGTTATGAAAATAGTGTCCTTAACATTCAGCCATGATTATACATTATTTTTTGTCCCTTAAAGCAATCACGTTCCGCCACCAAAATAGGAATCGCTCTTTATCTCTCTTCTACTATATTTGTGCAGTTGGGTTATTGAAGTGGGTAACTGTTTTTTATGTATATGAATAATAATATTATAGAAAAAACTCTAAAAGAAATACATTTTGGAAAAAGAAAGCAAAAGCAACAGGTTTACTTATGTTGTTAATATTTTCATGTTTTAAAAATCTATTGTCAATCTGTCATCGAAATTGATCGTATAATTTCATATTTTAAATGCATATCAATTAAAATTGAATTTATTTTAGTATTTATCATGTTATTTTTCAATTTACTCATGTTTTAAAATTATTTAATATGAATAATTGACTCTTTTATCATTTTGTTTAAAAAATACATAAAAGATTTTTTGTTTGGTTTGTTCATAGAAACAATGAAGTATTGATTACTTGGGTTCATTGGCTTCAAAGTCCAATCAATGCTAGTATTTTGTTATTATTTTTTTCTAGCTTTGGGTTAGTTGTTAGTATTCAGCATTAAATTGTTTAAAATAAAAAATTATGGCGGTAAAATGTCTTCATAATGGCCCAACCTTGACTCAACTTTGTGGATACTATGTGTATGAAACAGAGTAATCGTATAATATTAGGGGAGTAGAAGTACAAGATTGAAAATCGGTGATCTCAATTGATGGCATGAGGTTTGAGAATCCCATGCAATTCAAACATTTATTTGTTAACAAACTACAAACTACGCTGCAATTTGTGAGATGAAAGAAATGTCTCAAAGAGGTTGCTTGTTGAATGTGGGAAGTAAACAATTGATGAAGGGCATTGCCTTCCTATTTTGTTTACAATTACAATCATTTCCTAGCATAAAACATCTACAATCAAGCTACCTTATACTTAACTGCCTCCGATTACAATTTATGACATCTTTATCTTTATATGCATCTTTGAGTTATACAACGTCTCGGGCTGTAAATGAACTAAATTAACACACATAAGACTTGTTCATGTTTGTTTAAGTTTAGACAACTAACAAATGAAGACAAACACATAAAATATACATTTTTTTGTTTGTATTTATTAGATTAAACAATTACATTGTTCGTGTTTGTGTTTGTTCATATTAAGATGTAAAATGAACATAAACAAACATTAATAGACAAAGACAAGCGAACATAAAAGAATAAACATAAATGAACTAAAACGAACATAAATAACATAAAGCATTCAAATGAGTATCCATACATGAATAAAATAATTATACCTAAAGTCTAGAATCCAAACTATCCAAAATCCAAAATTAACCCAAAAATAAAGTCTAGATATCATCTTCCACCAAATATCTTCATGAAATGTCAAACTTGAAAAACTTCACACTTTAGTCTCGTCGCATCCACTTATTTTCACCCATAAATATGATAAATAACAATTTATTGCATGATTTTACTTTAAAATCATGATTCGTCGATCCTCCATCATCATAGAAGAAGATCAACATATATAGCATCACAAATGGACATAAACGAATGTTAACAAACATAAAGGAACATAAAAACGAACAAGCATAAACATAAACAAGCAAATGTAAACATAATGGCTAGTGCATAAACAAGACATGGTGAGCAAATTTGGAGTTTTGTTTATTTTGGTAGGATCTTCTGATCTTAATCCAATCTTTCGATCATGATTTTGCAAATCGCAATATGCTCTTAAAGAAGATCCCAATCTTGAAAACATGTGGATCCCCTAAAGGTAATAAATTTATTTTTTTCTTATATAGTAAAATAAAAAATGATTTTATAAGGCTAAATGGTTTGTTTATATAAATTGTCAGTGAGAGGGATTAAATCTGTAAACAATATATAAATCGAAGAATGATTTAATTTGGTTTTTTAAAAGTAGATCAAACATGCAATTTTAAATAAAATACAAGGACCAAATAAAAAGTGTACTCTTACCTTAAAGACACTACATTTAACCTAAGAGCAAGGTTCTAGATAATGTTAGGTGTGCCTTGGTGGCAATGAAATTTTATTTACTACGAGAGGTCATTAATTTGATTCCAAATAAATATCACCATGAATTATTATATTTCATATAAGAAATGAAATTTAATTTACAAATGCTTGCCCAAACATGGAGTATGTGCAAATTGTCATCTTGATTGTCGTAAGCTTGTGAAGAACATCAAACCTTTGTCACATGAAAAGCGTAGAGAGTTTATTATATGAGAAGCATCGGAGTTGGCTGCACGTAAAAATGCGTGAGTGTAAAATCTTGAAAACATTATGGGTGCGTTTAGTTGCGGAAAAATGGGCCGTTTTCCGGAAAAAATTTCCAAGAAAAATGAGAATTTTGAAAACGCGTTTAGTTCGTCTATTTTCTAAATTTTTCACGGAAAATGAAAATTTTTCGTTTTCTAAAATTACAAAGAAGTTGGAAAATTTTGGAAAACCGATAATCATTGTTTTCTATATTTTTCTAATTCCAAAATTTTCCTAAAATATAAACACGCACTCCCACCCCCATCCACCTCTACCTACCCCCACCTTAACACCCCCAACCCACCACACCCTTACCTACCTACACTCACTCACAAGCTCACCCCCACACACACACACACACACACACCAACCCCCAAAAACACACACACCCACACCCACCCACCCACACCCCTACAAACAAACACACACACACACACACACACCAACCCCCACAAACACACACACCCACACCCACACCCACCCCCACAAACAAACAAACACACACACACACACCACTCCAACCCCCACAAACACACCCACAAACTCACACCCACCCCACACCCACACACACACCACACAACCCACCAACACCACTACCACAATCACCGACCTACCATCACCATTACCATCACCACCACCACCACCACTACCCCATTACCACCACTGCCACAATTGCCGCCACCACCACCACCGCCTGTCCCCCCCCGCTGCCCCCACCACCGCCACCGTCCCCACGCCCACCCTACCACCGCTACCGTTTTCTAAAAATAAAAACTGATAGAAAAATACACATCTAAACACGTTTTCTAATTTTCTAAAACTGAAAATGAAAAATGAATAAGTTTTAACTAAACGTCTTTTCTAAATTTTCCAATGAAAACCGAAAACGGAAAACGAAAACTGAAAAGGGAAAACGAAAAACAGAAAATGAAAACTGTTTTTCCGTAACAAAACGCAACCTATATTCTTTTTTTTTTTTCGTTTTCAGTTTTTAATATGATAATTCCATTTTGTGATTTTGTGTAGACTTGAAAAGCTCACCAGTGATCCTACAGAGGGGAATGCATGGCATGCGGACCATATTGTGCCAGTATATCGAGGGGGAGGTAAATAAATGCAAGAAAAAGAATTATGCTACAGACATTTTTCCGTAGCTATCCGCTTATACCTACGGAATAGCTACGGATTGTGTTGTAGTTATTGCACCAGTTTTCTAGTAGTGGATTGGAAATCGGTGATCTTAATTGTTGGCATGAGGTTTGAGAACCCCAAGCAATTCAAACATTTGTTAACAAATTACGCTGCAAATTGTGATATGAAAGAAATGTCTCAAAGTGGTTGCTTGTTGAAGCCTGAAGGGTAAAACATCTAAAATTAAGCAACTTATACTTAATTGCTTCCGGTTCCAATTTCATGACATCTTCATCTTTATGCATCTTTAAGTTATACAAAGTCGTAAGGGTAGTTCATCTTTGTTTGTTTTAAGTTTAAGGAACTAACAACTGCGCGTGCGCGCACGCACACACACACACACAAACACACACACACACACACACACACACATATATATATAATATATATATATATATATATATATATATATATATAGAGAGAGAGAGAGAGAGAGAGTGAGTGAGTTAAGTTCATATATAAACTCTAACTATTGTATAACTATGTTTAAACCCATGGAAACCACGGTTGACAAAGAAAAAAATTATTAATAATTTGAAATCGTAATAACTAATCAAAAATTTGGAAAATAAATATATTAATTTACAAAAATAGAAGTTATGTTAGTAACTTTATAATATATATATATATATATATATATATATATATATATATATATATATATATATTAAAGAAATGAAAGTTAGGAACAGTAAAATTGATTTGATTTTGTTATTTCTGGCCCTTTACTTTGATTGTTTTTGTAGGTGGACATATCTGTTTTCATTTTTTACTTTAGCCCATGGACTTTTTAATTTTTACTTTAGCCCCTGGACTTTTTATCTTTTTCGGATTTCTCGAAGTTAATACCTGGTCAATTTATGTTTACAACCTGGTCTATGGCTGGTCAATTATGTCTGGCCGGAATTCCTCATCTGATCCCACCGCTTTTGTTTATATACGTGGCACATCATTAGTGACCAATCGACACGTTTTACCTACGTGTACCTTTCCACCGCCTTACTATTCCTTCATGCATGGTAATCAAAAATCAGTATTTCAAGAAAAACATACCCTCCACATTCTCTCTTTCGTTTCGTCTCCACCCATCACCGCTCCCTCCGCCAATCCTTTTCTTCCAGTTTCGATTATGTGTTCATCGTCTTCAGCCTATACCTCCACCAGGCAACACACTGCCAGTACATTGCCTGCGACACACCCCCAACGCACCACCATCGACTCTCCTTACCGTCAAGGACCACTGCCCTGGTCGACACCGGATGATCACATATGTTTATTTT